ATGTAAATGCATTGTTATGTACCATTGAGCTAGAATTTACTCACCAATGACCTTACAGCAGGTTTTCACATGTAATAAATTACACATAAGGAGATTATCCATTTGGTGGTAAATTCCAACCACTTGCCTTTGGGTTGGCAGTGCCATTCCTTACCATTAGGCCATCAGGCCTCCCTTATGTAAGTATAAGGTAAGTTAACATCAAATGAGATTGGTTAGCTTTTGGGGAGGGAATGGATTGATTCTGACTCATAGTGATTTAAATACAACAGAACAAAACACTTCCAGTCCTGTACCATCCTCACGATTGTGGCTCTATTTGAGTTCATTCTTAGAATCACTGTTGTCATTCTATCTTCTTGAGGACCTTTCCCTATTTCAAAGGCCTCTACCAACTATGAAGTTCTTCTGCAAAGACTAGTCCCTCCTAACAAAGTATTTAAGATGGATGTTTTACCACTCTTGATTCTCTGTCTATACTTGTTTGTTCTTTTGGCAATCTATAAGATATTAAATTCTTTTTGACATATTCAAAGGTCCTAACTACTCTTTGGCCTCCCTGTAAATGTTCATTAAAATTAATAAAATTTAATAATAATAATAAAAAAAATAATAAGTTCCAACTTGATGGTACTCAACAACAACAACAAAAACCCACCCAGTCATTGGATAAGAGTCACAATGACCATATCAAGAAGGGTCACATCAAGTAATTTACAGCACTGTATTTATTCAAATTGCATATTGTTAATGTGCCATCGAGTTGCCTGTGACTCATAGTAACCCTAGACACAATAGTTCTGAAGCCTGCCCTGTCCTGAGCCAGTCTCACTGACTCTGACCACCTTCTATTACCCCAGTTATTGTGTCAATACTGTGTCAATCTCATCTAAGGTCTTCCTCTCCTGCACTGTCCCTCTCTCCTTTCAAGCATGATGCCCTTCTCCAAGTACCAGTCCTTCTGCCCATGTGCCCAAAGTATGTGAGATGGAGCTTCAAAACCCTAGCCTCCAAGGAGAAACTTGGCTTCCCCTCTCCAAGACAGACTTATTTGTTCTCTTGGATGTCCATGGTATGTTCAGGACACTTCTCCAACATCTCAACTCAAAGGTGTCGATTCTTCTGTCATCCTTAGTCATTGTCCAGCTCTGATACATATCAAGTAATTGTGAAGACTATGGCCTGAACCAGGCTCATCTTAGTCTCTAGAGTGATACTTTTGCTTCTCAGTACTCTGAAGAGGTCCCAAGAAGCATACATATATAAAGACCTCAGCTTTAGGATTATACAAAGATTCATTAACAATCTGAGATATATAGATAAGAAGACAGTCTTGCTTGCTGAAAATTAAAACTTTTAGCATTAAGTGTTGAAGACAAAAGACTATATCCTTCTGTGTGGCTCACTCGTCAACATAAATAAATAATCTCATGGTAGGACCAATGAACATCGTGATAAATGGAAAAAGATTTAAATTATCCAAGATTTTTATTTCACTTACATCCACTGACCACACATGGAAGCAGCAGTTAGGAAATCAAAATACATATTGCATTGGCCAAATCTGTGCAAAATATGTCCTTCAAGTGGTAAAGAAAAAAGGTATCACTGAGTACTAAAATACCCTTTCCTTAAGTCATAGTATTTTTAATTGGCACATATTTTGAAATAATTTTAAACTTAAAAAATTACAAAAGGAAGAACAAGAGTAACTATATCACAGTTAACAAAATCACGAGATGAACTTGTTTTTTTTTTTTAACAGAAATTTAGTGTCCTGATTTTGAAAAAAGATATTTTGGTAGCTGGATAAAACTAGCTTAGTCCTGATCATACAAACTTTCTTATTATTAAAAAATTGGATGAGAAAGACTTAGAATTGTAAATCAAAACTAAAATAACAAGCAGAACATATTTTATACAAAAAATACCCATTTTTTAAATATCATATTTATGAATTCTTCCCAATTAGCTTAGATTTTACTGTCTAAATTGCTATGCATTTTATTCCCATTTTGTTTTTTCTCTTAGACTTTTAGAGGAGTTTTTATTATTTTTGTGAGGATGGTGCATGATAGTACAAGGGTTTTTTTTGGGGGGGCTTTCTCCACTTTCTTTTTTTCTCTTGCACTTTCCCTCTTTGACATTATGTTTCATATACAGTTCATGCATTTTATAAAATTAATCGCTATTAAATATCCACCATTACCCAGTCTTTTCAGATCCCCACGGGGTCTTTCCTATTTCCTTTACCCGTCCCTCCTCCTACTAAATTGTGCAACCTTGTGATTTTACCCTTACCCAACAAAGTTGTGATCTCTTGTTCAGAAGGTCTATGAGTCACTGTTGGCTCTAAGATACCTAACAATGTGTTATTTTAAACCACAGCAACCTAATTAGTTCCATCTCATAGTGATCGTCCACTGAGCTTCCAGAGTTTTATAGGAGGAGGCTGCGCATCTTCGTCCTGCAGAGCAAACTGCTAGCCTTTTGCCTAGAAGCTCAGTGCTTTCCATGTTATACCACCAGAGCTCTGATTTTAGAACATTTAAATTATGTCTTCTTGTCTGCTGGTTTGTAAAAGGTATTCAGGTGGGTTGTCCATCAACTGAACCCGCTAGTCTGTGTGTTTCATGCCACACCTTCATAGATCATATTGCTATTGTAAAGGTTTTATTTCTAAAAAGACTATCACATCATGGTTTATTTAGAAGCAATGAAATTGACATGTTGACTTTGATTCTGAGTCCTGAATTGCTGGGCTTTGGATCAGGACAAATAGATAGACTAGTAAAAGTAAATAGTTAACATCCATCTATAGTCTTCTAGGTCAATGTGACATCCTCAATATAGTTTTAAAAACTTTGTCCTTGCAGATTATAATCAGATTAATTTTTACATTATGCCTGAAAAAAACCAGTACCAATCAACACCAATGCCTTTCTCTCCTCTCATATTTTACAGTCCAATTCCAATGACTACCTGACCTTGAATGCTTACAACCAACCAGAGGAAGACTCAAAGACATTTGCTTGTCCTTTGGAAATTAGTGGAAAGGGATTTCAAACAAACGAACCTCAAGGAATGCAGCAAAGTGACCTCTTCAAAGCTGAGTATGTCTTTATTGTGGACTCTGAAGGCGAGGATGAAGGCACAGTCAAAAGAGGTGACCAACCTTCCCCAGAGAGGAAGTGTACCGGGGCTGTCCGGCCCAAATCTCTAGCAATTTCTTCTGGTCTGGCCTCTGACGTGGTGCGCCCCAAAACTCGGGGTGCTGATCTCCAGGCCTCAATATATCCTGAAATGCCTCATGGAGCCCCTCAGCAAAAGCATGGCCAGGTAGGTTTTATCTTCATGCTGTATGAAAAATAAATTTTCAACATACTGATTGTACTGGAATACTTGCAAAGGACTTCCTGTTTAAGACAATACAAATCGTCCGAGAAAAATATACTGAAAAGCAAAGTTACCAAATGTTTGTACTATAATACTGTGAATTGACTGAAGAGAAAATGTTAACACTTTTAACTCAAGTGGGTTATGGGGGAAATTTGCCCTTATTTTTGAATAATTCTTTGAAAGCAAACCAATATAATATTAAAGAAATGTTTATGCATATTAAAAAAAGAATAGTCAAAGTCAAAGAATAGCAAAAGGATAAACTAGGGAATAGGGCCATATAAGAAAAATAATTTTGACTTGTGTTTCTTAAGAAGATCTAGTTCATTATAAGGTCATGGAGACCACTAGGTTGAGATATGCCTCCAGAAAATGAGAAGATCCTATCTCAAAATCTAAGTCCAAGATACAATAGTATTTAAAGAGTCTTTATAGAAGTAGAGGAGGATCCAACTCTATAGTCTTCCTCAGTGCTGTTGAATTAGAATTGGCTCATAGCTGACCTTATCTTGGGTTTCTAAGATTGTAATTGCCTGGAAGGAGAATGTATGCTTTCCTACCACTGAGCTGTGGGTGGTTTTGAATAGTCAGACGCAAGGCCCTTGATTGAGCTGTGTACCTACCTATGGACCAGGCCACCTGTGGTAGTGGTAGTGGGATAAAAGGGAGTGGAAACAGGGAGGTATTTTGAGAGGAGGCGGGTGGAGGGAAGCAGAAAGCAAACGTGAAGATTTTGTTATTGTTTCGATATTTATTGTGATAAAAAGTATGACTTTCACATGACGTAATTAGAATTTTAGGATTGCAGAAACTGAGTTTGAGAGTGTGTAAAGATAGTACCTCACATTCCGTGATGATGAACACAACTTGTTACTGAGGTCTCTGTTTAGGACTTCAGAGACCAGGCATGTACAAGAAACCCAAAATAAGAGCATTTTAATGGTTTAAGTGAGTTTGTATTTTGTGGCCACTAGGTGATAAGCAAAATGTTAGAACAGGCATTTTATTTTTGTTGGTACCTTTCTACCTTTATTTGTGGCCTACATTCACTTCCATATGCTGTAATTATATTTTCTTCAAGTGTTTAAATACCATTTCCCCCCCTTTTAAATTGGAGACTTTCACTATGGTACCTTCACTTAGAGTTATTGGACTAAAATATTTATTTTTTTAGTGTGAAGTATTGAGAGAAAACATTGTTAAAGGTATTTACAGTCAACTGAGATAGGCTTAAACTTTGTTCATTTACCGCCCCCCCCCCGACCCCAGGAATTTAATATCTTATACACAGAGTCCAAAAAGATGTGTGCAAGGAATACAGCTCACATCTTGCTCATCTGTTAAAAGTCTAGCTTAGTTATTGAGTCTTCTACAAAGTCGTCTTTGAGAGTACATAAAATTTCAGATAATGAATTTAGTGAGCATCAACAGCTGAGAAAAAAATTAGTAAAAAAAGGATATTTTGAGGTAAAAGCAAACTGCCACTCTACATGATCTTCACAAGTTTGTCATGTACTTATAATAATTAAGATAGGTTTGGTGATGTAGAGACTAAAGGATTCATCTGTTATCCCAAAGTTTAGTGGATTAAAACTACCAGTTACACAGAAAAAGATGAGGCAGTCTACTTACAAAGATCCCAACTTTGGATTCACTAGAAGCAGTTCTACAGTATAATTTTGAGTCAGAATCAATGTAATAGCTGTGACTTTGGTTTTTATTTGTTTACAATAATCTTGATATTCTCACTTGTCTTATTACTATTTAAATAAATATTTTATATACCTTACCAGATTGTAAACTCTTCAAAGGTAAATTTAATGCTTATTAATTTTCATTGCACATTAAAGTATCTTTCTTTAATTGTTAATTTTATTATTTATATTTCATACATTGTTATATTATCTTGAACAGTATATAAATATGGGGTTCAAAGTACAGATGCTCAAAATACTTTATTTGAAGTAACATTTCCAAGTGAAAGCCCATTGTATTAAGAAATTCGTTAAAACGTTATGTTAAGAATGGAAAAAAGTTTAAATTTTAATTTATAGGCCAGACATAAAATGCTATACAAAATATAAAACTGAATTAATAAAATCTTCTTTGAACTTGAATGGTGATAAAAGAATGTTGATGATGAAAGTTTAAGTAAGAATTGTCCTACTTAGAGTAGTACAGACAAATGTGTGGGAATTATGCATATAAAAAGTTTACCTGAAATTCTTATGATAAGGGTGGGCATTAAAGCAATAAGGGTGGAAATAAAGACTCTAAAGAGGTAGAGATAGCTGGATTGGTTCATTGATTTTTTTTTTTATGGGAGAACCAATGATGAAGGAAGTTTATAACAAATGAGATGGAGTGAATGCTGGCATCCTTAATTGAGGCTAGAATAACAGAACTTTTAAAAGGACAGAAAGGATTATTGATCTTGAGATACCTTAGTGGTGGTCCCACAGGTTGATTTCTTGAAAGCAGTGGGAAATATGAACCTAAAACACAGGGCAGAGATAGAAACTGAAGGTATTTGCCACATATGTTGAAATAATGGGAGTGGAGGAACACATTTCCTCAAAGAAAGATTATGAAACAAGATGATGTACGATCCAAGTCAAGGAATACCAAAACTACACAAGCCATACTGTTCACCTGATCACCTGACTGCTGGTACTAAGGGTGTTAAATGTGGATTCAAATAGATAAGATGTTGACAGTTTGAATCTTTTCCCCGTCTGTCATGACATGACACTGCCTATTGATCCAGTGATGAGAAATTTTGTTTTCTTGACATTGAGATGCAATCCATATTGAAAGTTGTAGTCTTTGATCTTTTGCAGCAAGCACTTCAAGTCCTCTTCACTTTGAGCAAGCAAGGTTATGCCATCTGTGTAACATAAGTGATTGAGGAGTCTTCATCCAATCCTGATACTATTTTCTTCTTCATAGATTCTAGCTTCTCTAAGAATTTGCTCAACATACATATTGAATAGATATGGAGAGAGGATACAACACTGCTGCACACCTGTCTTAATTTTAAATCTTGTAATGTTCCTTTAAGACCCTTGATGAGATAGATCAATTCTGTGAGTGGAGTGGTGGGAATGAATGTGTTTGAGACAGCGCGGTTAGCACAGGATAGAATGGCGTTTAGGGCTCTTGTACATAGTGTTGCTATGAGTCGCAAATGACTTGATGGCACATAACAACAGTGTTCCTTTTCTTTAGTCACAAACAGCCTCTTGATCTAGTTATAGTTTTTGTATTAGCACAACCGAGTGTTCCGTGATTCCATTCTTTTCAAAATTATCCATAGTTTGTTATGATCCATACTGTCAAATTCTTTGTATAGTCAATAAAGCACAAATAGACATTCTTCTGGTAGTCTTTGCTTTTAGCCAAGATCCATCTGATGTCAGCAATGACACATCCTCTTCCAAGCTTCTTGAACTTCTAGTAGCTCTGTTTATGTACTGTTCTAGCTATTTCTTAATGATTGTCAGCAATATTTTTATTAATGTTATTGTTTGATAATTTCTATGTTTTGCTGGATCATTTTTCTTGGGAATGGAAACAAATACAAATCTCTTTCAGTCAGTCTACCAGTCTTGCAAATTTTCTGTTTTAAAATGGTGAGCATGCCCAGGCCTGCATCTATTCATTGAAATATGTTACTTGATATCCCATTGATTCCTAGGACCTTATTTTATTCCAATGTTTTCATGGAACCTTGAACATCTTTCTTTATCATCACTAACCATTAATCATATAGTGCTACCTGATATTTCAATGTTGGTCAATATTTTTGGTACAGTAGTTCTGCGTATTCCCTACATCTTCATTTGATGCTTCCTGAATCATTCAAGATTTTGTCCATACCACCTCTAAGTGTTAGAACTTTAGGCTTAGATTTGTTTTTCAGGTCTTTCAGTTTGAAAAATGCCAAGTGAGTTCTTCCCTTTTTATAGAAAATTCCTGTTCTCTGGACATTCTGTTATAAAACTTTACTTTGTCTTCTTTAGTTTCCCTTTGAAATCTTTTATACCAGTAGGCAGAAGACCAAGATCTTGATCTCTCTCTCTCTCTCCCTGTCTCTATCTCTCTGTCTCTGTCTCTCTCTCTCTCTATCATATCTATCTATCTATCTATCTATCTATCTATCTATCTATCTATCTATCCTTTTTTGTTAGCTGCCAATCAAGTAGTAGATGACTCACAGCAACCCTATGAACCAAAGACCTGAGCGCTGTTCATAGAGTTTCTGGAGGCAAGCCATTTCGGAAATAGATGCCACTCCTGCTTCCAAGCTTGTTTTGATTGGGAAGCTCCACCAAACCCTGTCCACTATGGGCAACCATTATCACATTTGGCACATCAGTGTCACAGCACTTAGCTTCACAGCAACCATGAGTTACCTCTGTATAGCAATGCACAGACCAGTGCTATACCACCTAGAAGAATGTTTGACAAAAACCCAATTTTAACCAGGTCTGAGGGCCACAGATTAAAATCACCCACCTTGGGCTTGGTAGCATAACTTT